TCACCTTATCGACTGCAAGAGTGAAAACTTCAAGATATTTCCCAATGAAATTATTCTTCATTCAAAACCACTTCATGTTCAAATCGAATAAGCTCCATCAACCCGAAGTCCCATACAAAATCCTCGAGAAACCTGAGCACCTCCTCGTGACCCGAAAAATATCTCGGATCATCACCTTCTTTCTTCGTAAATGGATAGTCCAAGAATCCCATGACCTGCCTAGGAAGGTTGACTCTAAGAGATCTGTAAAGGCTTCTGTGAAAAAAATTTCGATTCAGGTAAATGCCCAACAGGTCGGTCTCCACCTGTGTATTATAGAGCCACGTACCACCAACTTTGTCTGCCTTTTCAAATACGACAACACAGTGACCTTCTCTTTGAAGCTCTCTCTGTCCATATTTCCTGCTCTCATACTTGATGGGATTCATTAAAAGAAGAAAAATGAAGACTGCCTCTTTTCAGTAGAATACATCTGGTGAGATCAAAGGCGGTGACAGAGAGATATGGATAAGGATGGAGTATTGGGGCAAACACTTGAGGAAAATGTTCAATGCAAGTGGATGAATAATCCTTATTTTATTCCCTTCTCACCCAACAATTTGTCCACATTCTACCTAATTTTGAACAAACCACATGAATGTTATAATTAACAAAAGATTGGGGTGTTACAACTTGAGCATTCATAATCTACCCCATAAATTTATTGTTTCACTTGTTAAATTCTTGTTATGTTTGGAAAACTTTAATAATCAATTGCTATCTCTGAAAAGACACTAAACCTAGAATTTTTTATTTCTGAGCAAATATCTAAAGACTAATTTACCGGAAGTACTCTTTATGTTCGAGTTGTTCGAAATGATTCCAAAAAATAAAAAAATGAATTAAATGGAAAGCATGGATTGAATGAAAGGATCGAAATACCCTTGAACTCTAAAATGACTGAAATACCCTTAAATTCTAAAATGACCAAAATACTCTAAGCTCTAAAATGATAAAAATGTCTTTGTGCTTCTAAATGACTGAGGGGCCCTCGAGGTTCCAAATAACTTAAACACTATTACGACTTGGAATAAGTGAATGTCTTAGATAAATCCTAAAAGTACTAATAAAATTAAAGGTTGTATCGCCCCTAAAGGTTGAAGCATGACCCAAGCATATAGGTTATGCTTGCTACTGTTTGATATGAGAATAAAAAATAAATACTACCTAAGTACATGTTCGTCTCCTCAAGATTCATCCAATGATAGTTCTGAAGGTGATCAGTCGACTCTATAGTGCAATAAGTATTAAGAAATGAATATTCGTGAAGTTTTTCTACATGCATACTTGGTAAGTATCGCCTTTGATGGGATTTGTACAATTCGATTGGACTTAGAAGCCTGTTAAATGCTTGAAATCTGAAATATTGTAAATCGCTGCTTACCCTTATTAAACTAAATTACCAAAATTTCTCAAGAATCAAACGACTAAAATACCCTTGTAAGTCTAATTGATGAAATGAAGTATGATTTTTTATTTTTGTATCTGATACAGTATATCTGATTCTCGATTCCTGATTTCTGATATTACTGTTTATTGTTTGAAAGTTCCTTTTTATTGGGGTTTATCTGGGATTTCGACATGGAGTCTCTGAGGTGCAACTCCGATCAAGTTGATAATTCTTTATGGACCTAAAGTGACCCTTGGGTTAGCTCCTATGCTATGGCTAGGGTAGGTCCTTACCGCAGACTCATTTTCTTTGTGCGTAGGGAAAGTTCTTACAGTAGACTCATTTGCTTTGTGCACAGTGTGCGTTCTTACCGTAAGCTCATTTGCTTCGTGCATAGGGGAAAACCTTACTGCATGCCCATTTTGCATCATGCATAGGGGAAAACTTTACTGTATGCTCCTTTGCCTTGTGCATAGGGAAATTTGTCTAGACCCAATGTGCTCCCTTAGGTTGGTTCCTATTCCCAATGAACCTGTATAAGTCCTTATGGATGCAATTCCGGAGAATTGCATATCGGTGTTCTGTTGGAGTGTATTGCTATTGTTTTAAAATATGTTTTTAAACTATTACTATTTTTAAAATATTTATACACTTTTCTATGGTTTTTTTGGAATGTACTAAACTCCTCAACTCAATTTCTTGAATCTGTATCTCTTAATGTTTCCTTCAGATTGTAAGCCTTTCGACTATTACTTGAAAAACTAATGAATGAATCTGAACTCGCCATTAGAACCTAATGATACCTATATCGCTAAGAAAATTTATGCTTTACCTTACCTGATGGCCTATTGCATTTATTTGATAATTTTGTATTATTGAGCTTCACAAAGTTCACTCTGTTACTTACTATTTCAGGTTTAAGGATTTGATCTTGTGCATTTATCGACATCAGTAATGGAGTTCCACTATATTGTTTGTGGAGTACGGTGCATATATTTAGGGGGCATGTATGTCATATAATGCTTTTATATTAAAGTATGAAATTTGTTTTTATACAGTACATTGTTGAATTCTGTTTTGATTATAAAATACTTTTTGAACTTATTTTTTTATTTATAAATTGTTTAATGGTTTTTAAATGGTTTAACGAAAATTTTAATTTTCTTTGGATTTTCAGTGTGGGTCGCTCTGGTGGCCCTAATGTGGCACCTCGGATCGGGTTCTGAAGGTGTTACATTCATCGCATGACTGCAAAAAAATAAAAAAATAAAAATGGTTTAGCATCTAAGTTGATCTTTATTTCCCTGAAAATATTCATATCTAATATTTATGTCTATTTGGTTTGACACAAATGTAATTTTTTTTAAATTTATTACCAATACAAATATGTTTAATGTGATGATTGAATTAATATAACATCCTAAAATCTTTATGGACTTAGCGTGTCACATTGACCATCGAAGCAACTACTATTATAATTTTTCTTTTAAATATTTAATTTGTCCTGTTGGAATGATGGGTTCCCCTTCATTAATTTTTTTAAAAAAATTTCAAATGGTCATCGCTATGGCTATGTATGGGAACTCGTCCTACTGGAATGTTGTTTTCTCTTTAAATTTAAAAATATTGAAAAATTGAAAAGAATACCAACGATAATTTTTTTGAACTCGTCCTAGTGATATGATAAGTCCAGAAGTTCTATTAAATTGAATTTAAAAAAAATCTCGTAGAACTTGTCCTGTTGAAACAACGAGTTCCATTAAATTAATATATTTCGAAGAATTGTCTTGTGGACATAGCGAATTCCATAATTACTATAACAAATGACCTAGATCTCAAAATAAATTTCTAACTCCTTCATTTGGGGAAAAAAAGTTTATGCCTACAATATTGTTGCGTATGTGAGTGCTATAAATTAAACGTAAATTTGTGCAAGTATGCACAATCGAACAAAGAATACAGTAGCGAGTGAGTATCATCTCCACAAGAATTGGAGGGATTTCCAGGCTAAGCTAATGCACCAAAAATATATGAATTAAATGTAGTCTATACAGTGGTATAAACAAACGAGTAAGAATATTGTGGCAAAGTATTGAAGTGTGGATTGTGAAATGTTATGGCAAACAGTAAAATAAAGTCAAAAAATTGTTATGACAAAATAAAGTTACTTGACAATCTCTCACAAACAAGCTACAATAGGTATAAATGATTGGGTTACTAAGGAATCCTATACCTTGTCTCTAAAATGGTTCACCTTTCCCATGAGTTTTTTGCTCGACAGGATTTACTAAAGTGTTCCTAGGTTATCTCTAGTACGGAACATGATAGAGAAAATGCTATGGCAATACCCTTCAGTGTAAACTGCAACATAATCCTATAAGTTAAAGCCTTGCCATCCCATCTTAGCTCCATTGTTCACGTCGATCTAACCTAACTCTCTCAATATTAGGCATTAAAACTTAGAAAATGACTAACTCTAAAAAGATCTTACAAATCTAAGCTAGTCACATTCAAACAATGAATAAAACAACATTGAAGCATGGAAGCATAAATCATTCATCAAAAAGAAAATATAAATATTCAAAGCAAACCCACACCAAATAAGGTTAGTTCATGGTAGGGTACAAATCATCCACAAGAATAATCATTTTTTCCAAAACCCACAAATAAATATAACTGAAAAACAACGAAGGAGATAGAGAACTCCCAAGTGTTGTTGCGAGCTTTCGTGAACCACCTTAGCAAGCTAGATTCTCTCAAAGGCCTAGCATGCTATCCCCTTGGAGCTTGGTTATAGAAAACACCATGAAAGGAGGAAGAAAATAATGGATCTCTTTGTTTTTCACCTTGTTTGCCACACCCTTTTCTCTTCCTCTCTTATCTTATTTATACTACAAAAAAAACTCTCCATCTTCCAAGAACTCTTAAATTCACAATAAAACACTCTAACTCCCAAGAGAATCTTAATTTCACAATAAAACACTCTAACTCCCAAGTGACTCTTAAATTCCCCCCTTTAATATGGGATTTTAATTCCTTTTGTAACCTAAGGAAATATTCTCTTCATATTATTGGGTTGGGCAGCTTTCAGAGGAGGTTTCACATGTGGAGAGTTGGCAGCTATTAAAGATATCTTTGTCATTTTTGTCTTTTTCTGTGGTCATAAATGCCGTCTAAAATGATGTAACATTTCTAAAATTCTCCTTCGGTCCTTTAGCATCAGTTACCTGTACATCATCAACAAAACACGACCTTTCCCCTTATGCAACACCAATTTCAACAATAAAATGTTGCAATAAATATTAAAACTATGCAACTTCATAGACTTAAATGCAACTATATGTAGTTAAACGAGCCTTTTAAAAAACCAATAACCTAAGTAAAAGATCATAAAATATGACATTTTTATAAGGTTATCAAATACCCGGCTAAAACGCAAGTCAACTCGATTTATAATAATTAAAAAAATAAAAACAAAGAGACATATTTTAGATTCCAATATTGATAAAATTTTCTCTTACTATTTTGCTATAAATTATGATCAAATAATAGTCTTCAAATTATTATGAAGTACAGTCACGTTAAGAAAACTAATTGTATACATATAATAAATTTACATAATGACAAAAAAAAGTTAGCTAGAACAATAAGCAAATTATAAGGACAAAAAATATGTTACAACCAGTGACGAATCTAGAAATACTTTTTAGGATGGACACATATATATTAATAATATAAATTTTTCGTATGGGTATACACAAATAAAATTTCAGGATGAACACCCTCAATAAAATGAATTACTAATATAAAAAAATTTGAATTTCAATACCCATAAGCAAATAACAAAAATCATGTTGATTAGATATATATATATATATATATATGTATATAAGTATATAGAGCATGGTACTTGCATGCAACATTTATAAGAGTTATAAAAAGTAATTGAATTTACAAAAGAAAAAGTTATAAATATCGTCGAATATTGATTATAATAATGTGGTCGAAAACTACATTAGGAGTTAGGCAGGGTATAACAGATCCAGGTGACCGTATATTTCCTTTCAGTTTGCTTATTACTTCGTATATTGTTTTAAACAAAATCTTTATAAATTTAACAGTTTTATGTAAATGTATATGAAAGCATGCAATAGCTTGGGATAGAACGAGGGGGGCGGGTGGGGGCAGTCATCGCCCTGAAATTTTCAAATTCTTCTATATTTTATATTCTTTTATGTGTATTTTTTTATATTTTATGTGATTCTATATATGTTGAAGATGATGACCAGTTTGTTTAGGTTTCTGTTTTTTAGTGCATTTGTGAAATTTATGCCTAGCAAATCAACTCTTATCTGCTGATCTAACAACCAGCATATCATTATTTGCAGGCGCATATGCATGCCAAAATGGAGCAGTTTTCATACTTGAATTGTACTTTATAGAGCTCGATGTCTCCAATACTTGAATGAATTTTGAAGTTGAATATAGGAACTATTAGTATTGTCGTTGTTATGATAATGTCTTATAATCTGTGAAGCCATTGTTATGAACCATATTGTTAAATGTAAGATACGAGTATGTATCGGATACGAGTACGTGCCAGCCAAGTACATTTTCTGGTAAGGGTGACTGTTAAATGTAAGATACGAGTATGTAGACACTAATTTTTCAGTTTGCTTTTATTATTTTTATTATTATTATTATTATTATATATTATTATTATTAAACTTATTATTATTATTTTATAAATTATATTACAAGCCCAAATCCCGGAAGCCCAATTACAATAACCCATACCCAAATGGCCCAAAGAAAACCCTAAACAAGATTAGGGTTTCCATTATCTCAGCTTATAGCCGCTGCATCTCTCAGCCGTTGGATCTGAGAGATCCAATGTTCTACAGGAGGTCCACATTTCTGCTAGGGTTTCTAAACCCTAGCTTCTACGCCGCTGCCGCTGGAGAAGGATGACAAGCCGACCGCTGCTTCACTGCCAGATGACCCAACCAGTTGCTGTCACCACCACGACTGACTCCTTTGGTAATGCCACATCGATGCCGTAGATTCCAGAACACCAGATGGCAGCCTACATCGAAGCCCTATGGTGAGTCACCACCATAGCTATGGTGACTCACCTAGGCAACCTCCTTGGGACCGGTCCGACCAGAACGTCGATGGTGGCCATAAAAGCCATCATCCCTGCAAAACAAAAAAAAGAAAGGAGGAGAGACAGGAACCGAGAGCAAACACCCACAACCACAGACAGCAAACAGAACAACACCGAGAGAAAAACAACCAAACAAGAAACAGAAAAAAAGAAAAAAACGAAAAGAGACTCACCGTAGCCTTCACCCCTCGCCAGAAACGAAACGTCGAAGGTAAAATAATTGTAGATCTACGTTGTTGGGTAGCATTTTAAGCTAAAATAACCTAGGATCTAGATTTAGGGTAAATGGGACTACTTTTTGGGAAAAATTTATAAGCGCCGGTGGCCAGCGTCGGAAACGGTGGCCGGTCGAAATTCGGCGAGGGAATTTGTAGAGAGAAGGCAGAGCTTCTCTCTCTTTAAAGAGAGAAACAGAATAAAGAAATGAGGGAGACCGACCATTTTAGGCTGGTTTTTGGGTTTAAATACCCCTCCCCGAAAGACGTTGTTTTAGGGGAGGGGTCTGTGTGTAATTTGATAAAGTGTAAAACCCTTTCCGTAATACCCAGTGTTTTGAAACTTTGAATTATAATCACTTAAATCAACTTTTGATCATTTTAATTTGGTATTTAAATTTTTTTTAATTTATAATTTAGTCCATTACATGTTTATATATATGTATTAGGGTAAATACTATATTTAGTCCTTCATAATTTTATTTATTTATATTTTAATCACTGATTAATTAATTAGGGTTAATTACACTATTAGTAATTATTTTTTATGATACTTCGAATAAGGGCCATTAATTTATATATTTCATATTTTAAATAGTTTGATATATGTGTGATTATTAGTATAATTTTTATTTTATTATTATTTTTTATATATGTTTAAATTATTATTTCATTATTATTTATTACTATTATCTTAAGTCATATATATATATATATAATATTTATTTTTTTTTATTTGTTTTCTATTAAAATCCTATTTATAAATTTAATTTTATAAATTACTTTTAAGAAAAATAATCATATTTTAATATATATTTATTTTTCAATATTAAGAAAGGGCAGTCTTAAAGCAACTGGATGTCCATTTTCTGATATTTTTAAATAAATAAATATCTTACTTTTATAAATTATGTATATATTAATCTATTTTTTATTATTTTTAGATAAATGTTTTATTAATATTTATTTATTTTTTAGTATTAAGAAAAGAGTTGTCTTAAAGCACATAGAAGTCATTTTTTGATATTTCTAAATAAATAAATATCTTATTTATATATATATAAATTAATAGATTTTCTTAAAATTATAATAATAAATTTGAAATAACATGATTATAAATTAAATAAATTTTTTAATATTTAAATTTCTAATAATAGAGACAATTTATAATTAATGAGTACCAATTTTGGGCGTTATAGGGGTTCTAATCCTTCCCTAAATGTAACCGACCACGAATCCCTACTTTATTAATTTTTTTTGGTTATACGCAGATCAGTTTATCTTTTAAATTAAGTTTTCTTAAAAACTATTTTAAAAGATTGTTTCTTAGGTATTTGACCTACCTAACTCAAAAAAGGTCAATGGCGACTACCAAAATATTTTAAAATCAAAATCATTTATTTATTCATTTTTCCCGCCAAGTAAAAATTTTGTGCCCGGGCAAAAACTGGTTACGACAGCTTGGCGACTCCGCTGGGGACCTGATCAAGCTTTAAAATCAATTATACATTGTCTCTATCAATTAGAAATTAAAAATTCATATTTATTTAATTTATAATTCTTTTCTTTCAAAATTTTTATACCTATAGTTTTTATACTATTTTTTTACATATATATATTCTTCTTTACTTTATTTTATTTTCAAGTATTAAATTTCATTATTTATTTGTTTGTCAAATGTTTGAATATTTCTCCTCACACACAAAAACTTGCATTGCATAACATAAGCTCCATACCCAAGCTCTTGTCCCTTTTAAGTGGGAGTGAAAGTGACATCTTCGTTAGAATTTATTCTCCGTGTCAGACCTAGCAAGTAACTTTCGGGGTTTATATGCTCTATGTGTTCGTGAGAATTTATTCTCCGTGTTAGGCATAGAGAAATGTATCCCCTCGAATTGAACTCGATCCACTTTAGTGTGTGATGGACTAGGATTGAGGGTTTGGCAGCCTAAGGGGCACCAACAAGGACAGTTCGAGTACCTTTACTCTTGAACCAAAACCCTGCATATAATAAACCCTGGAAATTCTCCCATCTAAGACAGTACTGAAACCCTGTCCGTAGGTGTACACAAAGAAGAAATAAGCTCTAGCTTTTAATTTATTTGATTTTATTTTTTTCTAAACAAAGCATGGAACTAGAAATCATGCAGTTAGGTTAATTTTTCCAAATAACGCATGGAATTAGAAAGCATGAAGTTAGAATTTAAACCTTGATAGATAGGATATTTTATTTCCATTAGTTGGTACTAACCATTTATTTTTTTCATGCATGTTATTTTGCTCTAACTTATTGATTTCTTTTGTTTGCATTGCATGACCATGACATAACCAAAAGGTGTTAAATAGAAAGATTGTTCATCAAATTGGAAAGAAATCATAAATGGACAAAAAGTTTTATGATCGAACAAAATATGACGCAACCATGGAATGGCATCCTGAGGAGAGCTATGCACCCAAAGATCGTATGCCCATTGAAGACCAAAAGGAGATACGAGAAATAAGAGAGAAGATGTCCAAGATGATGGGTAGAATATCTGTTTTGGCCAAAGGAAAAGAGATTCCTGCACAAAAAGAGAGAGGGCTCAATGAATGTAATCCTGCAATTTCATATATGCAAGGGACTTTTGATCCCAACAAATTTGAGAAATTACAAACAACATCATTCGTATTCACAAATTGTCCGAAGATACCAAAGAAATGGCGACAACTGTAAAAGCTCCCAGAGATGAGAAATCTTGTAATCTGAAATCATCGAATTTTAGTCTGCTCCCTACGTCTAAAACTCAGGTTCAATCCAAGAAAAAAGGCGGTTCTCATTTTGATGCTATCCCTATATCATATAAAGAATTGTATGAGAAGCTACTTGAAGCACGAGAAGTGGCTCCGTACTACATAAAACCTTTCCAACCTCCGTATCCGAATTGGTATGCCATCAACGTTTATTGTGAATATCATGCCAGAGCTCAAGGACATACCATCGAGAATTGTCTTGCCTTCAAACGTCGAGTCCAAAGTCTTTTGGATCATGGAACCTTAAAATTTATGATAAATGATCGACCTAGTTTGGTAACTAAAGGTCCTGCTAGATTAGTACCAAAAGTCTTCAAAGGAAAGAGCATCAGTAGGGGTGTCCAGAAGGAAGAAAATTTGCTGAGGTATAAGGCTCAAATACGTCCTTTAAAGATTGAAAACGATAAAT